AACTGAATAAATGGCCCCATCGTCTCGATCGAATTCAATCAAATAAGTCTTGAAAGAAAAAAGAACTTCCCAATATGTATGTGTGCGTGTATGTGTGCATGCATACTAACTACTTTTTGTGAAGTGTATAGGCATGTATGTATTCATTTAAAGACTTGCACATTTTTAAAAGTTTCTTTCCGTGCATGAAGACAGTGGGAGAAATGTGATGAAATCAATGTAGCGATAGGATCAGCAAAGCGTATAATGCCATCAGCGAATCATCTTCCCATTATGCAATCTCCATTTTGTTTCCTTCCTCGTCTTAAAACCTCGAAATGTCGACAACAAAATACTTTTTTGAAGACGAACATAATTTTTATAACTTTTCATATTTTATATGTTTGTTTCTAACAATGGTGTCTCTTATTTTTTTTACCATCAAGTTGGACATTGTTTTTAATTATTAAAAAATTTTAATAACCAGAAAATATCATTGCTAGACAGCCAACAATTTCGGTAACATACCTTAGAATAATATTAACAATAAACATCCGAACAGCCAAACAATCTCTCAAAAATTTTAGGCTGAAGTTGAATATTTTTGGTGAATCTGAAACACATATTTCTTTATTTAATTCTAATTTTTTAAATTCATACTTCAAGCACATTTCAAATCCTAACAATTGGGATAATGTTTTTAACACTATCTCTTACAATGGCATGAAATTGAATTAACACTTCAAATAATAACTGGAATAATATGCTAGCCAACAACATTTTAATTTTGAGTGTAATGTGAAGTTTAGTTTAGCAGTGTAATGTGAAGTTTAGAGTTAAAGGTTGACACATTTGTATTGCAAAAATATGTTGACATTTAATGCACGCGTCAACAACACAGTTTAAAAAAGCATGTATTTAAATGCAAATTTGCCTTCCTCCAGTAACAAATCCTTAACATTAAATGTAGGAAACGTTTGAAACGAATGTTTTGGTGTACGTCTGTGTGTGTTTTTGTGTGTGCCTATTTGTGTGTGTGTGTGTGTGTACGTGTAAGTGTGTGTCAAATTTTTGTAATGGAAATTACAGAATTGTTTGTAAATACGTTTTATAAAATCACAAATAAAAATATAAAATCTCAAAAACGTAGTTACTAACAACAGTGCGCTAATGAGTTATGATCTTCCTCATGCACCTCATCTGCCCTTCTGGGCGAACCTAATTAGGGTCTCTGTGGGCCCAACTGTCAACAGCCGATTTAAAGTAGCTTTTTAAAAATTTAGCTTGCACATATATTGGGAAATTACTTTTTAAAACTAAAACAAAAATGTCCGATAACCAAGTGGTATTTCTGGTTTTTCGCACTCCGTCAGAGTTGCCTAGATCGGCCTTGCCCTTTCTTCTAGAAAATAATCAAGGTCAAGTTCATGAGTCCGAGATGACAAAGAATTGAGATACAATGTTTGAAATTTGATTGATAAGAGAAGAGAGATATAAAATTTACTAACCACTTCATAAAAACTTGTTTATAAATAAAATGTTTGTTTTTAAATGTAATGGAAGTAATTATTCGTAGGGAGTTTTGTATGAAAGTTTAAACATGAAAAAATATTTTTTTGTATCGCTTTTACTGCATTTTATTTTCGCGAAATATAAACGTTATATCGAACATTGAGGTACAGTTTTTGAAATAAAAAATTAATAAAGAAATATTAATAAAACAATAAAAAATAAAAGAAATAATGTTGAACAAATTAGTCACTAATTTAGTCTATTCAATCAACATACAAGTATTTTTGCGAATGTATACGATAGTTTATAAATCTTTGATTATTTGGACTTTAATTTAGCAGTGAAAAACACCATCAGATTGAAACACCAACAAAAAAATGATGTAAATGTTGAGAAGAATGATGATAACAACGAGAATGAGGTGACCAACCATTCACTTGGGTCATCAACGGCGTCGGGATCGACCAGCTTTGACGACCTTGTGACAGTGGGGCTCGGAGTGGCCTTGCCCTTCAACGATGGGGAGGGCAGAACCGGAGGGGATAGTGAAAACAGAGGAAGAGGAAGCGATGATAATGGGGGTGATATTTGGGACGTTGTGGTCGGGTGTTTTTGTTGTTGGTGCTGTTGTTCTTTTTGCTTCTGTGGCTGTTGTGGTTGCGGAGGTTGTTGCTTTTGTTGCAGATGAAGCTGCGGTTGTTGAGAGATGGCGGGCGGAACAATTTCAGGTTCGCAAACGTTCATAACATGCAAACGGAAGTCTCAGTTGTGGTTTGTAAGTTGATTGTGAACATTATTCGAAAACTCATTCAAGTCCATCTTGATTGATCGATCGAAGTTAAATTGTTCATTGCATATTACGTATGTTGGAGAGTCTAACATTGTTTTTGCTAGTTGCAACAAGTGGGTGTGTGTTTATGTGTTTGTGCGTGTTTGTGTGTGTGTGTATAGCTTTGCTTTGTACAGTCGTAGTGTAGTCTAGAATGAATGAAAGTATTTCATAGAAGTTTGAAAAATTTCTAAACTGCTGCGCAGTTCATCCTTGATATTCTTGTGAGGACGATGATGGAGATGTTGATATTCATCACTTAATAAGGAGTCCTGGAATGAATGAGATGAATGCTGTTGTTGGTTTGTGTTGTCGACTGTGTTTTTGTTTGTATTGTTGTTTTGTGTTGTTGTTTGTGTTGTCGACTGTGCTGTTGTTTGTGTTGTTGTTTGTGTTGTTGACTGTGTTGTTGTTTGTGTTGTTGACTCTGTTGTTGTTTGTGTTGTTGTTTATGTTGTTGTTTGTGTTGTTGTTTGTGTTGTTGTTTGTGTTATTGTATTTTTCGTTGATGTGATCATTTTGAGGCTGCTGACATCTTTCTAGAGAGTCACATCTTGACAACAACATCAACAACAACACAAACAACAACAAAACAGTTGCCGGTGAAAGAATATTATTAAAATTTAAACTCCTTGCCAGTGTAAAACAACGAAGATGCCATTTAAAATGATTATGTTGACGAACATAATGACAGGTATAAATATAAATTTATAATAGAATAAATACATTAGAGCAATGATTGAAATGAAGATGATGTTATTGACCTTATGATGTCAAATTACTCTTAAGTTATTGTTTATTTTAAATGACAGATTGCATTTACTTTTAGAAGAAGATAGACCAGCAATGTGAAACGTTTTACTCGTTCTAAAAACATGAAAAAATTCATAAAGTTTTAGTTAGAAACGTATGAAACTTTTTGTCGTTTAAACATTCCAGACAATCTTTTTGTGCAAATATCTTTTCGGCTATTTATAGCAATTTTTGAAACTTTTCAATAAATTTAATTGAATTTTTTTGTAAAAAAAAACAGTTCAAACTTCACACATACCTATATTTACTCCATGTACATAAAGAGTACAGATATGTATTTTTTTTTAAATTAAACACCTATTTAAAACTCTTCAGACAATTTTTTTAACAAATACTTGAATTAGAAATTAGCGAAAATATTCTGAACAGCTGGCTTTTTGAAATGATACCCAACAATTTTTGTATAAAACTGCGGGTGAAAATTTGTTGTATCAAACTATATATATATATATACATCCATAACAACATCAACAAATCATTGTCTAATTTAATTTTAACAACAACAACAACAACAACAATAACAATAACAATAATAACAACTCACCATCAAAATCATCAAACATCAGCACTCTTCATAACATCATGATAACTTACCTTTTAATTTGGACGTTACGAGTGATACGATAGATGGATACATCCAACAAAATTCCATGTAATGTGATACTAACAAAAATGATACTGTTGATATGATATCAAATTTTTTTCTTATAATATTTCTCGCTCCGACGTTTGTCCATTCAATTTGTATTCAACTGGGTTTAAAACAAAAGGTTTTACTTTTTGAATTTTTACTAATCCAAACCTTCAAACAACATCAATAATATCAACAACAACAACAACAACCACAATTGCAGCAAAACTTCATAATTTGACAGATCTTCGCCGTATCAGAATAAGTTGGCTGGTTGTTTTGTAATCGAATACTCTTCCAGGTCAAACAGAAGCTGTCGAGAATTTTTTATGCAAACAATGGAAAGTTTTTTTTCATATACAATTTGAAAATTTTTGAAAATCTACATACAATAATACCAAAAAATATATTTAAAAGATATATAATTATTTTTAAAAAAACAAATTATTAAATTTTCTTTTTTCAGTTTTTTGTATTTTCTTGGTTGAATTATTGTTTTATTTTAAAAATATTTAGCGTAAATTATTATTTTATTATTATAACGGCAACCGTTGAAAAATTAATGATCATAGAAGAAAAAATTGACAAAATTCGAAAGGGCGGATCGTGTGTGCACCATTTCCATGCATATTTGCATGATCTTCTTCCATGCATGAATGTATGCGTGCATGTGTGTATGCATGCATGCGTGCATGTATGTATGCATGCATGCATGCGTGCATGTATGTATGTATGTATGTATGTATGTATGTATGTATGTATGTATGTATGTATGTATGTATGTATGTATGTATGTTAAAACCAAAACATGATGAGTGACACTGAACCGTCAAACATCAAGTAACAAATGGATTAACACTTTGATTTGTCGTTAATTGCACATGTCGGCATTCAGTTGGATATTTTCAAGCACACAGACACGCAGGAACCGCTGCAACAAGCACGAAATGTGGTTAGTTGCGAAAAACAGTTCCCCGCTGTCGCCTGATCTGACGCTGATCATTTTGCATATATCCTTAAGAAATTTAAGGGTGTTGGGGTCCATCGGGCCAAGAACCTCGATGCATATTGGCAAGAATTCCATCGAGGAGAGGGCGTTCCCATATTTTTTCATTTTCTCGTCCGCTGCCCTGGCCGCGGCCAAACCGCATTCTTTACTTGTCAGGTTTACGTATCGTTCGGCGAGGGTGCCAGGGACCGTAACATCCCACGCCAAACATCTGCCGGCTCTCCAAGGTATTAGTGTGCATCCGTCCGGGCGCCTACCATCATGCGCAGAAATGCCGGATGGTTCCTTGAGAACCGGGATTGAAGCCTTGGAGAAGAGCCGACAAATGTAATCGTTTAGTGCTGAGTGACGTAGTTGACGGCCCCCACCCAGGCGACAAACCAAACCGTGGTGCCCAAACTCGTCCGCCCCTGCGCCACATCGGCACGTGTATTTATTCTGAATGACCAGGCCAAGTCTGAAGCCAATGGAAAATCTCACAGACTCGTCGTCAAGCCTGGTGCCTACAGAGGTGTTAGGCCACGATCTCAACCACCCACAGCTGGCAACGCTGGACATGGCCAACAAACGAGCGGTGGAAAAGTCGTCGCCGCATGAAGACAACAAATTTTGAAAGATTTTTTTTATATTCTTCGTTCAAAATTTGGACGTGCGTACGGTCCCCCGAGGCGGACACTGGGGGAAGAATATCGCGGCAACGAAAAAACCGGTGGAGCAAGGAAGACTGTAGGTCGAGAGTGGCAGCGGCAGAAGAATTATAAACAACGGGAGCCAGCTGAACCACGCTAAGCAACCCCAGCCCACCAAATTGCACCGGCAGCTGAGCCTGGGACCAACCACTGTCGTTCACTTGAACATTGCAAATCGACGACAGGGCGGTGCGCAGGGCTCCGTCAAATTCACCCAATTTAGAAGGATCAATGTATTTAGATGTACGCAGGAAGTACATCAATTTGGGCAAACTGAGGGCATTGCAGATAATAGTCAAGGCATCATGGGCCGAAAGACAGGAAACACGACCCAGGGCGAATTTAAGCTCAGAGAGCTTTTGGTCAAAAAACTTTATTTGATAATCGCCCTCGACCAAGGGTGTGCCTAAAAAACTCAGCTCTAATGCACCAACTCTGGGTATTTCAGCCAGCGCATGTGGCACCTGAAATAAACTTTGGCAGTGAAGTTTGCATTTTTTAATGTTTAACTCTAAACCAATTGCAGCGGAGTTATGCTTCAAATATTCGTAGCTATCGGCCAGAGTTGGACCGTCCGAAGCTATGCTGATATCATCCAGATAAGCGCAAACGAAAGTGGACGAAGCTTTCTCTAAGAGTGGATGAAGAGTTAGTGCAAACAACAAAGGACCAAGGGGATCACCCTGCTGTACCCCCTCGGACGATTCTACAACCCAAGAGTGGTAGCCAAGGGAAGAGACTCCGCCATAGGCAGAATGGCAAAAATTATAGATATTGGGGCAAAAAAGTTTGACAGCCTCCAACATCGAGTCTCTTCTCAAGGCATTGAAGGCATTTTTAAAGTCCAGTTTCAGAAACCCCCATTGATCGGGGAGGTCGGTGACAAATCTTCGAACCGCATGAACAGCGGCCTCAGCGCCACCCTTAATCCCGACACCCAACTGAGTCGGGTAGAACTTGGTCTTAAGTTCGACCACGACCAGGGCCAAGGCACATTTGCCGGCCAACCTCCTCCAAACGTTCCCGACCGCAATCGGTCTGACCCCTCCGTCTTTCTTATTTAAAGCTATTAGCCGGCCTCCAAAAAAGTACCGGCGGACGGAGAGTGGGCAAGCTCCAGATAGGATCAAATTAATGAATTGGGTTAAGAAGTTCAGTGTGTCGTCAATTGGCAAGGGGCCTGAAAAAACATCCTTAAGGTGCTGGGGTTGTAGGCCATCCAGGCCTCCAGAAGAACCGTTTTTGAACAATTTAACGGCCCTCAGCACCTCGGCGGGAGAAACGCAACCAGCCGTTGGTGTCAATGCGGGAAAGACCCGCCTGTCCACCGGAATTTTTGGGTGGATGGAACATAATTTATCGAAGGTGGCCGGCGAGCTCTCCGTCAGGCCCTCCGGCGAACAGACAAGTCTGACAGCCGAGGACAGGTTTCCCTGTTCAATACAAGATGACACAGCGTTGATCCACCGATCGGGGTTGTGCTTTTGTGATTTGGCATTATTGAACCCATCAAAGCACAGTACCAGGGTTTCAAGACCAATAGTTGAATATTCGCTTGGACGCTTGTTGACCAGATTGCCCTGGTTGACCCGGCGAACCCCCCTGGAAGTCTTCTGTAAGACGTATGGGACAAAACAGTGGAGTCTAACCCAGTGAGCCGGGTCGCCAGGGTCATTACAAACAGCCGTCAGCAAGGCGTTCAGATCATGTGCGAACTTCTCCCTGCATGGCTTAGGGATATGGTCGTACACCGGTACACATTTAGCACGGCCGTCAGCTTGTCAAAAACACCAGAGTAATCCAGGCTGAGAGGATCACCGGAGACCGATGCGGCCGACGACCGTGTGGGCAACCCAGGCTTGGGATCGAGTGCGGCACTGAGAGGCGAAGCAGCCCTCGCGCCCGATGGATCAACTTTTTTCCGGGACCCCGAGCATTCCTGTTTTTTCACTTTACCACCGTGCCGACATAACTTCCCGTCTGGAGTGCTTCTATAGTGATTAAAGCAGACGGGGCACTGTTGTAACGTTGGAGCCATATGTGATTAAAAACAACCAAGAAACGAGGGAAAGGAAACAAACCAAGTGGGGTGGATGGATGAATGAATGGATGAACAAGCGAATGACCAAAGGAACGGGCCAGCGAACAAACGGATGAATGAGTGAATGATGGGGGAATGAATGAGTGAGGGAAAAAAAGAATGAATGAGTGAATAAATAAATGAATGAATAAACAACCGAACGAATGGATGAATGAATGAATACATGAATGAGTGACGGAATGAATGAACGAGCGAACGGATGAATGACTGAATTATCTTTAAATATTTAACCAGTGTTTCAACTTTTATTTATTTTTTTTTCCTTTTCTTTTTTTTTATTGATGAATGAATGAGTGAGTGAGCAAATGAGTGAATGAGTGAATACAAAAACCTAGGTAACAGTGTGGGAGGAGACAACTATTGCAGCAAACTTTGGCCCAATCTCTCCCTTATAGTTTATTTTTTTTTTACACAAATTTTAAAAATTGGTTTAGGAAATTTTTTTTTATAAATAAATTTTAATTTAAACTTTAAATTTTAATTTCAAAAGTAAATTAAAAATAAATGTCGGTAGAAGGTAAATAAGTTAAAATGTATTGAACTTTCCGATAATAATAAAAACAGCTCACACCTGGCGCAGGCCGGTGACCTGTAGCAGCTATGGGCTGTGAATAAATTATAATATTGATAAAAAAAAACAAAAAACGAGAAAATTGACCGAGGCAGGGCAGAAAAACGATAAAAAAATGACGGAAAAACAAACCCGGGACAAAATTACAGCCGATGACCCCAAAAATCATCTATAAAAACAATTTAAAATCTATGAATTTAGCAAAAATAGTCAGGAAATTAAAAAACAATCCAGTCGGCTTTGAATGTGAACAAACGATGTATGTATGTATGTATGTATGTATGTATGTATGTATGTATGTATGTATGTATGTATGTATGTATGTATGTATGTATGTATGTATGTATGTATGTATGTATGTATGTATGTATGTATGTATGTATGTATGTATGTATGTATGTATGTATGTATGTATGTATGTATGTATGTATGTATGTATGTATGTATGTATGTATGTATGTATGTATGTATGTATGTATGTATGTATGTATGTATGTATGTATGTATGTATGTATGTATGTATGTATGTATCCACTTAAATATATTGTTCATGTGTGTATGTATTTATGTTCATCTAATATATTTATATATTTAGAAATTATTATTAAATAGCTATACATACACTTCGTAAAACAATCAACATCATCCTTAAAACAAACTCGTTCACGCTCAAACTCTTCATAATGAAATGCGGCCAGTGGCCATCTCTGTTCAAAAATAAATTCTTGCTATACTAACTAATACTACTTTTAAAGTCTGAAAATGTTCTTTTTTATTTTTTCTCTCATACAGTTCAGAATGTGGCTCGTGTCTAGTTGGAAACTATGCTAGATGCAATAAAGTGTTCTTATCTCTGAAAAGATTTCTCCTTCTTAATAGTTGCGGATTGATTGAATTATTTGATGATTGTACGTTCGTGTTTTATCTGCCTGCTTTATTGGCTGATTTGTTAGATTGCAAAAAATAATAATTACAACAGAAATGAATGAATAAATTGTTTATTCTTTTTAATGTATATTTTTTTTATTGACGAAATATTAATTTGTTCGATTTGGGGAATGATTGAAGGATAAAATAATTTGATAAGTTGATAAAACAAGTTGATTGATTGGTTGAACTGCTTGGCTGATGGTTTGGTCAATTTGCTAAATTGGCCTGGTGGTCTAATAGTTAAAGATGTCAAGTCCTGATTTGCACTGACTGGATTCGATTGCTAAGATAATCCTGTATATTGTTTGTGGTTTTACGTATATTCGCGTTCGCTCTGTGTGGTGTATGTGTGTGTGGGTTTGTTTGTGTGTGTGCGTGCGTGCGTGTGTGTGTGTGTGTGTGTTGTATTGATACTTCTGAGAGCTAATTAAAAGAGAATAATGATCTTTAACCTTTGCTGGTTGCTTGGTCGGTTGATTGATTATTTGGTCAGTTTATCGGTTGTTTAACTGACTGGTTGGTTATTTGGTCAATCAGCCATTTTAGATTTATCTGTTTGTCAATAGTGACCGGATGATGTTGAGGTACTTACTGTATTGACAGCTTATAAAGCATTTTTATTAGGTTGCATCTTTGGCCGTCTCAACAAATCTATAAGACGCTGTTGATCGTGTTAATGCGATCATGACGATGATGGAAATAATAAAATAATAATAATAATTAATGATGATGATGATGAAAACAATAAAATTTTGTTGTTTTATATTAATTAATGATTAATTAATGAATAATTAATATTTATGATAATGATGTTATTTTTACATGTGATATTTATGTTGTGGCGGTTGTTGCATGTTTATTACTTGACAGACAGTGATAACATTCAATGTAAACTTGGAGTTGATGGTTCAATTTGTTGCTTAACTGATTATGGCAAAAATTATTATTATTACAAATTTTCTGTTATTGTTATTATTATTATTATTATTGACGTCATTATTATTTTAAATTTTCTTCTCCTAACTGATGCACGGCTGTTTAACTCGTAAACGAATTCCTCTCCCCAGAAAAAAACCGTTTGTTATCAACTTCGAAAGTTAAATTGACGATGATGCGATATGTTTGTTTCAGTTGTTATGTTACAGTCATCGTTTGGTTGTACATTCTTTTTTACTGTGGTTATTGTTGTGGCTGTTTTTGTTTTTGCATGATTTATTGTTATGTATCGCAAATGTTTTTGCTGCAGTTGATGTTTTGTCGCGTGATATATATGTTGTTGTTTGTTGAGCTGTTGTTCAAGTTTTGAAGCGTTGTTGTTGTTTCCATTTTGTTTTTTTGTGATGGTATGATGCGTTTCCGCTGCTAATATGACGTCATCATCAATTCAGCGTGAATTCTTCCTGCTGCTTTTGATGCATATAATGCAAATGTTCTTAAAGGAGAAAGTGAGGAGAACCTGGCGAGACGAGATGGCTGTGGAGGGCAGGGATGGGAAGAAAAGTATGGAAAATAATTTAATAACAACAAACAAAAGTAAGTTGAAGTAATTTATCATGATAATGATAATGACGGTGATGATGATGCTGACGTTGATGACGATGATGATGTTGATGATGATGATGATGACGATGATGATGACGATGATGTTGTTGTTGATGATGATGATTTTGATGTTGATGATGATGATGTTGATTGTGATGATGATGATGTCAGAGATAAAAAAATGTTGATGATTTGGTAACATAGAATAAGAAAAATTTTGCAACAATAAACAAAGTCGAACAAATACTTCAGCATCGGAACAGTTCAGACGAAAATACGTTTATTTATGGGCGCAAAAATTTTTAAACATTCCAAAAAAATCTTGCAACAGTTTTCTACCGGGAGTTGTTCAACCAAAGTGAAACTTTCGATTATTAATAAATGATCATTCGCTTCTCATAATAATTCCTAGAACGATTTCTAACAATCTAATCACTACAATTAATTAACTGGACTATATTTATATATTTATGTTAATAATATTTTACTTAATTAAACTTTAAATTCAAATTTAAATATTATCAATTTTCATCAATTAAGACACTAATAGATTTTTTTTCATGGTCTCTCAATTTTGAAAGAGCGTCTGATTGACTATGACGATGCTAATCTCAGCAAGCAACACAATATTTTTGTAGGTTATATCGTTACTATTGCAGTAACAACACCATTGTCCTCATCATTATCATCGTCCTCATCATCATCGTCTTTATCATCGTCATCATCACCTCTGATGGTACCTATGTGACAAAAAATTTCATTGCATTGTATGTGACACGCGAATAATAAAAATAAAAATAACAATAATAAAATTAGAGTAGTAATAATATGAAAAATAAATGTCTACACAGAGAAAACATAGACAACACATACAAACCACACGTAACAACATATACAATACAAAAACATTAACATTACAGAAATAATATAGCTACTTTTAAACCGCATGAAAATATTATAAACATATAAACAAATAAATAAACAACATAAACAAAACAAACTCACAACAGATAAAAAGCGAACGACAAACATACAAACACGTAAGCAACATACAAACAGCAAAAAATATTATACAAAAAAAAATTCGTATAAACAAGATGACATTAATGATTCGTATTGTATTTTTGATTGCCCCTTTCACGACAGACGCTGATGCGTGGAAGTCTAAATGTATTGTGATATTACATCTACCTACATGTGCATAATTTTTTTCATTTTTTTAAATATAAACCTGACAAAAACAGTATAAATCAAAATAGTAGCTAAGAGTAAATAATAGTAAGCTAATGAAGCCTTTATTTTAATTTACAACACGCAGTGAACTAGTAAGTCTGGCGACCAGAAAATATTTATGGTTTCAAGTAATGAAACGTTGAATTAACATCGTAAAACGGGGTACATATACTATTAATATATTTCCATACGTGTATGAATATATTTTTCGTTTGAATTGGGTAAAATTAGATTTGGGGTTTCTTAGCCATTCATGACACCGAATTAGTCGCATTATAAAACTTCAAAGTTCAAACTTCGACGAGTGATTTGTAAAAGTAAAAGATATGTAAGTAAAAAGATGCGAGAGATTTTGCATTTCAAATGAGAGAATAATTTCAGTATTTAATGTATAGTTATACAAATGAAATTAATAATTAATAGAACTAGAAGATACTAAGTAAGACATGATATATATTCTTCGAATGAGACAAACGCACGATAACACGTTCATTTAGAGTTTACATACGCAAACAAAGGCATTAATAGTGCACGAAAAAGTAAACAGATTGAATTGGCATTATTTTTCATATCAGTAAACAGTATGCAAACTGCGCCAACCCAACAATATTTGCATTCAACAGACACAAATTCTCATATCATCTGCATTTTTATGACACAC